CTAAAATTTTTTCAATATTCATATCCTCTGACCCAGAATTTCCATATCTACAAATTTATCTTCAAAAAACTTTTGCATAAGAGCATACACATATATTTAAGAATACTTCTTGTGGCATTATTTGTAATAGAAAAAATGGAAAAATCCCATTTGTTGATGATTTCGTTCAATAATGTATCTAGAAAACTTCTGATGTGGTTTGGGTAAATAAATACATTGATACAATAGCATGCTATGCAGCCACTATAAAGAATGGGGTTGATCTATATGTACTAATTGGCATGGAAAGATGTTCGAGACTGATTTAAGTCAAAAAAGCAAATTGCAAAACAGTATATATCTGACAATAAAACATAATGAGTAATTATATGATAGTATACGGGAAATTTTCACTTAAACACCAGATTACTGAATGTTCAGTATGTGTCAGGCTCTGGACTAAGCACTTTACATATCTTAAGTCATTTGCTTCTTCCAGTGGCTCTTGAGATATGTGCTCTTCTTATCCCCATTTTAACATAAGGAGTTGAGTCCATGAATGGTTAGGCAACTTGTCCAAGCTGGTGAAGCTAGAAATTGGTATAACTAGGATTTAAACCCAGGCAGTTTGACACTGCAGGAGAAAGACCTAGCAATCTGCTTCTGTAAAGATGACAGACTAGAAAACTCTATGGGGCAGTTCTACTCTGTCCTATGGGGTTGCTATGATTTGGAAATCAACTTGATGGTATCCAGCAACACAAACCATTTGACTCTAAAATCTACATATTTAACCACTATGCTCTAGAGCTTCCCAGGATTTTCTGTATATATATATATACACACACACACACATATATATCTTTGTAATATTTGAAATTTTATAATGGGCATGTACTATTTTAAGGAGCCCTGGTGGCATAGTGGTTAAAGCGCTCAGCTGTTAAGCAAAAGATCAGGAGTTCGAACCTACCAGCTGCTCTGTGGGAGAAAGTTGTGGCAGTCTGTTTCTGTAAAGATTTTCTTTTGTGCATTAGGTAAAAGTTTACAGAGCAAATTAGATTCCCATTGGATAGTTTGTAGGTAAAGTGTTTCATGGCCTTGACTTCATTCCCCACAATGTGTCAGCACTCTCCCCATTTCCGCCCTGGGCTCCCCATTTCCTTTCTTCCTGATTTTCTGCCCCTTGTTGCCTTCTCATCTTTGCTTTTGGGCAAATATTGCTGTTTTGATCTCTTATAACTGATTGTCCTAAGGAGCACATTCCTCTTGGGTGTTATTGTTTATTTTGTGGGTTTTCTGTTGTTTGGCTGGAAGGTGGTCTCCAGGATGCTTCTGTAAAGATTTACAGCCTTGGAAACCCTATGGGGCAGTTCTACTCTGTCCTATAGGGTCACTATGAGTCGGAATCGACTCGATGGCCTTGGGTTATGTACTACTTTTGCAGTTAAAAAATAGCCGCATAAAAACAACAGCCAAAACCCTCTCATTTCAGGACACTGGTTTTAAATTTTTTTTTTTTTAATGGAGAATAGGCTTTTGAAAACCGAGATACCTAAAAAATCAAAATCGTAGTCTATGAAAAGTTATGATGGAGAGAAGTAGAAACTCCAGTAATCAAGAGGAAACAATTTAGCAGTTGACCTTTTAAAATAGAATGCAGGGATTGTATATAAAATGAGAACGGCACAGCATCATTAGGCTCTGAAGACATGTAAATTAATTTTCAGGCAATGCATATGCTTACGAAAGTAGCAAAACATAATACAGAAAAAGGAAAGCTGATGTTGGTGAGGTTGGAGATACACAAGTAGCATTGCCGGAAGCCCTGGAATTGTTCAGAACTTCTGGAAAGCAGTCTGGCAATACAGGACAAAGCTGTAAGCAGAAGCCATTTTAGAACATCATTATTCTGTCCTCCGTATCTAGCACAGTGCTTCACACGTAGGAGGAACACAAATAGCTGATGAGTGAATGAATGAATGAAATTATTCTTATCCTTTCACCTGTTTGAGGGCTATGCTCCAAGAAATTAATCCAAAAGAAAACTATAGTATTTTGAACAAAGAGGTTCATTGCACTGTTGCTTATAAGAGTGAAAACATGGAACATTACAAATGCCACCAATACAATACCTAGGTTAGGGGTCTACATCCGCATTGTGGACTGTTCAAATGAGAAAGAAATGTGTATATAAAATGAGGTTTACTCTCTCTGCTTGGGGAAAATGGCAGAATAGGCGTCCAATTCAGGACTGTTTGGTTGACATTTGTAAATTCCTTGGGTTAAGTGAAGGACGGAGAGTGGAGTGTAGCCACAACCACACAGGACTTAGAGAGCCCTCCTGATTATTCACAGAGGGAAGGAGCTGGACATTGCTGATTTGTTTGTTTGACTTTTTTTTTGTGTGTGTGGACATTGCTTTTTTAATGAAAGCCAATCAGAGGAGATCAAAAATGGAAGTTTTCTTACATTCTTGGTCAAGAGGTGTTGAGAGCTTTTGACTCTTCTTCTGGCTGGACTGGATGCTGAAAAGAGAGATTAAAAAATGGTTTTAGAGAACGCCGAGAGGGCATCGTAGCTCCGGTAACGATGCTGAGAAGCTTTTAGCCTTCAATGGGCAGGAGCACGGGCAGGAGCACACACAGTAGGCAGAGCAGGAAGAAGAGGCAGGATTCAATGACATTTTATTAAGATGTTACTTGACTGGTAAATGTATGCATTTTGTTAAAAATGGAGACACCCAGTCATCTCTTTTCCACATTGCTGCTAGAATGTCGACCTAGAACTGAAATCCCACCATGTCACTGTCCTGCTTAAACTTGAAGTGACTTCATATATCACATATCAGACACACAATCAGATGAGTGTTGTTATTTGCCTGCAAAGCACCTGCAGTGGGAAGCCCCGGAGTAGAGCCTGCAGATTAGTAGCCAGGGCTCCCAACTCTGTTCACCTGGGTGCGAATCCTAATGGGCCACTTGCCTGCTGTGTGACTTGGGCGAAACTACTCGACCTCTCTCATCCTCATTCTCTTCACCTGTAAGACAAGGATAATAATGGCAACTGCCTCAGGGGGCTGTGGCAGGATTAAAAGAACTAACCTTTGTAAAACCCTAGGCTGGAGTCTGGCATAGAGTAAGTGCCCTAGGAAGTGGTGGTGGTGGTGGTGGAGATTTTCCTCTTTTTTTCCCTATAGGATAAAGGTGGGCAGAAAGCACACGTGATGACTCCCACAGACTACAGCATTCAGTTCAGATTTCTCTTTCTGGAACTTTCCCCATATCCTCCTACCTCTCTCCTGCTGGCCTACCACCCCCCTCCTCATTGTTTTTATTATAGATCACGGCTTATCCCCAGGGGCCTTATTTTGAATGCTGTGGTACTGTTCACCCCAGAATTTAATCCACTCTGGTGTGTCTCAGGAAATAACGTCTGGGACAACTTCTTAGTAAAACCACAGTTTTTATCTTCTGTATTACTGTGAATTGCACTGTGTACGATCTTTCCCTTAAAGGGCTCTCTCTCTAAAAACCAAAACATTGCCGTCAAGTCGATTCTGACTCATAGCGCCCCTATAGGATAAAGTAAAACTACCCCATAGGGTTTCCAAGGCTATAATTTTTACGGAAGCAGACTGCCACATCTTTGTCCCGCCAAGCAGCTGGTGGGTTCGAACCGCAGAATTTTAGGGTGGCAACTGAGTGCTTTAACCACTGCACCACTAGAGCTCCTCCTCCTCTCTCTCTCCCCCTCTCTCTCTCAGATAAAAATACACAATCGTCCTCAGGTAAGACTTGGTCTTTATCTTGTGCTTTTTAAAAATACTTAAGAAACACAATAACATCTGCTGTTGCCGTATTTCTGTGGAAGTATTAAGACGGTTCAGTTAAAAAAATGCAGATATTAGGTTGAACACAGCGTCTGTGTGCGTATGTTGGGAAGGGAGCACCGAGGGCCTTGCTGCTTGATGGCTGAGGAGAAGATGAGGCAAAGCAAGAAATGGGAAGAGGTGGACTTCATCCATTTATGGTCTAATGTAAACCTGCAAATGCTCCTTCTCTGGAGAACATCTTTCTGCCCACTGAAATGTCTGTGAATACCCATGAACACTTGGTTAAATACCAAGAGGTGACCATGAATGGAAATGGGAAGAAAGGAATATAGGATTAAACATTCATCTTTGACTGAACATATTAATTGATGTAAATACAGAATAAAAATAGAAATCACTTTATAAGTGATATATTTAATGGTGCTTACTACATTCCAGATACTGTTCTAGATGTTTTATACATTAACTCATCTATTCCTCATAATAACCCTGCGAGGTGGGTTCTATTCTCCCTCTCATAGAAGTGGAAACTCAGGCCCAGAGAGGTTAAGTAACTTGTCTAAGGTCACACAGCAGTTTCTTAAGACTACGCTAAACAAATGGAGCCAAGGTCCTTTTTGAACAATTTTATTTAAGTGTGACATTGCTCCTGAATTGGATGATAAGCTTTTAATTAAAAAGAGTCCTATGGCTTTGACTTTTCCCCCTTAAAATTTTTTTAATGGATAAAATTAAAGAAAATAGACACATTTTTAACGTTTTCAGATTTGCCTCACAATTTTTTTCCCCATATAAAAGAAATAAAAAATCAGAGGTAAAGGTAAGGTCTCCTTTCTATTCTCCCCTAATTCTACTTCCTTCCCTCCTGGGGCTACTGAGTTCCCCAGTTCTGTCTGTGTCTTTCCAGTCTGCGTTTTCAAACTTTTCTACATGTATGTATCCATACACAATGTACAGTATTGTTTTGTGTCCAAATTTATATAAATGTTGTCATACATATTTAATCTTTCAGCCTGCTTTTTTCTTGAGATCTATGTAAGTCCATACACACAGATCTGGTTCCTTCCTCCTGACGACTGTGGACTATTCCATAGTATGATGATACCCTGTTTTATCCATTCCCCTTATAATGGACATTTAGGTTTGTTTGTTTGTTTTCAGTTTTTCCCTCTTAGAATCAATGCCCCTATGAACATCCATGTGTCCAAGTTTCCCTGGGCTATTTACCCAAAAGTAGGACTGCTAGGTCAGAGGTCACTGTGGACTTTCAGGTACATTTAAGAATCTCCAGAGAAAATTCCAGCCCCTGCACACGGGCAGGCTCCTAGCTCTTTTTCCTCTTTCTCTCTCTGGCAATAGATGTCTAAAGCTTAATTTACGTTCTGCTGTATGTCTCTTTGTGGCCAGACTCAGAGGCCCCCCACCCCGCAGCAATGGCTCTGTCTGTGGCTGATACGGGAGGGAGGAAGAAAGGAGTTCTTTGAATGGGAAGTCGCAACACCAGCAAACATCCAGCCCACTTCATTCATGCCTGACAATGAGACCAGGGGCTTTGGGCTCTCAGGGGAAGACAGGGCTGCAGGGCAAGGGTGGAGGTGTCAGGAGAGAGGAGCACCTTTGGAGGGGTGAAGGAACTTTCCAGAACCGAGCACTTGGAGTCCACTGAGCCCTCACACAAAGCCCCTCCCTGGGACTGAACACAGTTCACCCTGAGCACAAGGACGCGTAAGTCAAGATTCTCCCATCATACCTTTCTGTCAGCTCTAGTTCCAGGTTAAGTTTGGGAGGGTGGCTCTGGGGTTCTGTGGAGAGGCCGAATGGGGGTCAGGGGACAACCTGACTGCTTCTTTGGACTTTAGGCCATTGCTAGGAGGATTTCTCCCCACATGACACGGCACAGTTTGGAATCACTCTGAGCCAGCTGGTTCTCACTGCGGAACCCGCTTGCCACTGTAGAAAAGAAAAGACTCTACCTAGCTGCCCTGGGAATTTGGTCATCATCTCTGTTCCCTAAAACAACGGCTTGCTGTCACTTTCACAATTTGCTGTCACTACTGGCATATTGGGTTGCCGGCACTGAATAAAGTAAAACAGAGAGTCATTTCACTGTGCTCGTTTTCCTCAGATGGATTGCTTCTCAATGATGATGCTTATCCACGTGCCTCCTTTTCAGAAAAAATAAGTAAAATAAAATAAAATACCATCAAATCCGAGAACCCATCAGCCCTCAGAGCCCTGAGAGTAACACATAGTAAAACAGCAGGGGATTGTCCTGAGCCTCCTGCATAAGCGGTCACATCCAAGGAGCACAGTCAAGGGCAATTTTACTCACCCTTGGAAGGAATCACAGTGGTGAAAACTTCTATATTCTCGTCACTGCAGCTGTAAATCTGATGCATCGTGTCTGCCGTCTCTCCCCAAAGTGCTGGGGATGGGAGCCTCGCTCTGAAGCCCTAGTCGAGAGGTTTCCTAATCCAGTCTGGCTCAGGGATCATTGTGCAGGCCACAAAAGACAGGCTCGGCTCTGATCTCATCTCATTCCAGAGTCTTCACTGCAACATTTTCTAATCCCATCTGTCTTTTTTTTTTTTGTGAATCCTATTATTGCAAACTTTGATTGAGCGTGGAGGCTTAGTCCCCTCCCATGCTAGGAGGTGTTTAACATTTTTATTTTGCCGTGTCTGCTGCAGTGAATTTGGAAGTCTTTTGTCAAGTGATGATGAAGTGAAATCGCCTACTTGGGTAGCGCCAAGCCTGGCTGGAGAATGTCGTCAAAAAGGAAGCATGAATTTTGGTTACCAGCAATTCTTCTCATTTCAGAAATGAAGAGGCTTTTTTTTTTGCCTTCTGCCAGGAGAACTAGATATTCAGTACTTTGTCATGTGTTAACTTGGCTTCCTTCAAAGTTTCTATTTTAAACAAAAGGACTGTTTCTCTGGAGCGTGTTTGCTTATGTCAGTACATGACGAGGCTGACATTTCTAGCGAGCCGTGCTGTTAGCATCTCTTGTTCGATCCTTCAGGTGCTTACAGAGACCTGTGCACTTGAGGCGCCCAACTACAGGAGGTTATATCTGTATTACTCTAAGTATCCTAAAATGTATTGTCCTATATATGTATTATCCTAAGAGGCAGCAGTGGCTTGGTGGTGGAACTCTTGCTTTCCGTGAAGGAGTTCCGGGTTTGATTTCTGGCCAATGCATCTTATGTGCAGCCACCATCCATCTGTCAGTGGAGGCTTGCATGTTGCTATGATGCTGAACAGACTTCAGCACAGCTTCCAGACTAAGGCTAGGAAGAAAGGCCTGGCAATCTACTTCTGAAAATCAGCCAATGAAAAACCCTATGGATCACAATGGTCCAATCTGCAACTGATCATGGGGATGGTGCAGGACTGGGCAACATTTCCTTCTGTTGTACATGGGCCGTCATGAGTCAGGGGCCGACTTGACAGCAGCTAAACGACACCAACATAACCTATATACCAGATATACACTGTTGTATATATCCTATATCTTATCCTATATATTCCACATACATACAAATACTAAGGTTATGGTTGAAACACACATGTATCATGCCAAACTCACTGCCTTTCATTACACCATTACAGCTTTACTTCATAATAATAATGACCATAATGATGTAATAATATTAATAATGATAGTTACCATTTATTAATGCTTGCTATGAGCTAGGTAGCCTGCTGTATTATCTCATTTAATATCTACAACTACCCAATGAACTAGCTATTATTTTTGCCATGTTATCAGTGAAGAAACTGAGGCATAAAGAGATGGAGTAACTTGCCCAAAATCAAGATAGCTAGTTTGTGGCAGAATTAGGATTTAAACCCAAGCCAAACTCTAAAGCCAATGCATTTAACCACTAAATTACACCTGTTCTTCACCTCCAAAGCATTCCTACCCACACTGAACCTGGGTGGACCTAAACCATAGCATCTCAGACTTGGAAGTTGAGAGCTTGATGTCCATTGAGACTTCCATAGTAGATACATTTGGGGGCATTTACTCACTATGTAGGTGTAAATATTGCACCTATTTTTCTGAAGATTACACCAGCCACAGAGGATGGCCTGGAAAGCCAAGTGTTATGGATTGAATTGTGCCTCCCCAAAAGATATATTGAAGCCCTAATCCTGGTACTTGTGAATGTGACCTTGCTTGGCACTAGGGTCTTTGAAGATGTAATTAGTTAAATTAAGATGAGGTCATATTAAAGTGTGTGAGGGGGGAGGTCCTAATCCAATATGAGTGAGAGGAGAAGAGACATGGAGACAGATTCAGGGAAAATGGCCATGTGGAGATGGAGGCAGAGATTGGAGTGATCTGCAAGCCAAGGAACTCCAAGGATGGCCAGCTGTCACCAGTAGCTAGGAGATAGGTACAGGACAGATTCTTCCTCAGACCCCCCAGAAGGAACTAACATGGCTGATGCCCTGATTTCAGACTCCTAGCCTCCAGAACTTTGAGATAATAAATTTCTGTTCTCATAAGCCACCTAGTTTGTGATACTTCGTTATAGCAGCTGTAGGAACCAAATGCGTTTCTACCTGAAGTTGTCCCCTTGACTGCATTTGATTGGGCCAGGGTAGACACCTAACCCCCATTGCTGCCCCTGGAAATGGAAATTGGGACCGACCGAGAGGGTGAACTCTTGGTCCAGGAGGCTTACTTGAACAAGGGAAGGTGTAAACTTTGAATATCTAGGATGGTTCTTAGGGCCAATGGAGATGAAGATGAGTGGAAACCTGTACAAAGAAATGGAACTAGTGGTCCCAAAGGGACCTGGGGCCTGAATAAAAATCTGAATTGAAAGATTTTTAGCTGGGGAGAGGGGGGACAAGTATTTTTCCCTCATTGCCCCCACTTGGGAGCCATGTAGAGACCTGTACTCACTGAAGCTGTGAGGACCAGTGGGAGGGATGGGGGTGTTGGGGAGCAAGAGGGAGTGTAGGGCAAGCGAGGGGTGGGTGTGGGGGGATTGAGGGAGACAGAGCCAGAAGAACATAAAGAGGCAGAGATAGGGAGGGAGGGGGTATTGCCGGGCTCGATAGTTTGTTGGCCTTTCATCATTCCTTATCTCGGAGTCAGTGAGTGACCTCGGTCTCCATCTGATACATTTCCTTTTGGCTTAAGTTTAAGTAGGTTTTGGTCATTTCAGCTAAAAAGAGTACCATCTAAAAGATGTCTTTGTGTTTATAAATTTTATAACCTTCACAGTGATTAAATTTTTAGGTAATATGAAACTTAGAAGAATATCTTAGTACAGTAGAAGGCAAGATCCAAAATTATGTTAACAGACTGCAATCTTGGATTAAAACCTACAAGATGAAATTTAAAAAACCTAAATGTAAACACCTCCCTTTACATTAAAAGAAGATTAATTATTAAGTACAGAATTGGGTAACCTGGCTCAGCAGCAATTTATTTTCAAAAATCTGGGTGTCAGTTTAAAAAACAAAACGAAACAGTTGCTACTGAGTCCATTCCAACTCATGGAAACCCCATGTGTGTCAGAGTTGAACCATGCTCCATGTGGTATTCAATGGCTGGTTTTTCGGAAGTAGATCTCCAGGTCTTTCTCCCAGGGTGGCTCTGTGTGGACTCAAACTTCCCACCTTTCCATTAGCAGCTGAGTGCATTAACCGTTTGCATTACCCAGGGACTCCAGCTAACCACATACCTAACAAGAGGCAATATTACAAGCAGAAGATAAAAAACATAAATGAAGTTTCAAAGACCTCATACTGAATTGAAGTTAAGACCCCCCCACCCCGAGAACACCCAAAAGCCAATCAGAGTTACCTGTTATTATGGATTAAATTGTGTCCCCTCCAAAGTATGTGTTGGAATCTTAACCCCTATACTGGTGGATGTAATCCTGTTTGGAAATAGGATTTTCTTTCTTATGTTAATTAGACCTTACTTGAGTAGGGTGGGTTCTAAATCTAGTTACTTCTGAGTTATCAAAGGAATAGATTAGACACAGACACACACACACCTGGGGAAAGATAGAAGCCATGTGAAGATCACTAAGGATCCAAGGAAAGCCCGGGGCTACTGACAAGGAATGACTCGACATGGCTGAGACCCTGATTTGGATGTTTAGCTTCCAGAACTGTGAGAAAATAAATTTCTGTTCTTGAAAGCCACCCCCTTGTGGTAATTCTGGTATGGAAGCACTTGGTAACTAAGACACCTCTCAGGGCATTTGATCAATTATATGACGTTTAATGAATGAGTCTGAAACACAACTAACGTAATGAAACATATCCAGAGAAAACAGTTCTCAAGAATTGTTTAAATTACCTGTTTAAAATATTTTTCAATAATAAAAGTGATACAGGCTTATAATAAAAAATTTAAAAATGATAGAGGGGTACACAGTACAAAGTGAAGCCCACATCCCCCAATCAAATCTCACTTCCTAAAAACAATCACTATTTACAGATTAATCCACCAGCTGCTCCTTGGAAACCTTATGGGACACTTCTACTCTGTCCTGTAGGGTCGCTGTGAGTTGGAATCGACTCCATGGCAATGGGTTTGGTTTATTTACAGATTGGTGGTATCCTTCCAGATTTTGTTGGTGCTTATGCAAAAATATATGTACCCATATGGGATTTTTTAAGAAATAGAAATGGGATCATTTCTATTAGAAGCAGTACTGCAAGTACATCCTTATATATGTTATGTATCTTTACATATGTCTTCTAATATTTTTGTAGGATACATTTCTAATTGTGGGAATGGTGGGTCATAGTGTATGCATGTTTAAAAATTTGAGGGAGTTTTCCAAATTGCCTTACCAAAATTCTGCATCCATTTACACTTTCACCAAAAGTATATGAGAAGGCTTATTCCCCAGAGTCTTGGCAATACTTGATATCCCTGGATAGTGCAAATGGTTAATTGCTCAACTATTAGCCAAAAGATTGGAAGGTTGGCTGTTTGCATCCACCCAAATGTGCCTCAGAAGACAGGCCTGGTGATCTGCTTCTGAAAGCTCGCAGCATTGAAAACTCTGTGGAGCAGTTCTACTTTGCATGCATGAGGTCACCCTGAGTCAGAATGGACTCAGCAGCAATTGACAACAACAACAACAACCAATCGTTTACTTTTTTGCCAAAATGATCCTGTTTGGCTTTTGTGTTCTGCAGTGGTGTCACTGGGGGGTGCAGACCATACTGGGTGATACTGTCTGGGGGTGACACAAAAATGACTGTCTATAAAATTTTTGTGCAGTGTTCCAGCAGAAATTTATTATTTTTTATAAAAATATCTTGTAGTTAATTATATCAACAAAAACATTTTTCATAAGCCCAACTTACATGTATCAATATACCTACAAAGCTAAAACTCTATGCTCATTTACTTTTTGGGCCTTCCAATGTGCTCTGGTCAGAGCTGTCATCATTACCCAATTATAATGATTCTACGAATCACGTGGTTTCATCAGCACGCGCTACAAGTACGCACTATTGCTTTCATTGCGGCTGGTGTTTTTATAGTCGCTGATTTTGTCAAAAT